ATCATCTGGAAAAGAGTACAAGTACCCCAACTCACTCACCAGAAACATTTGTGGTAGTTGGCATCTAAGACACTATTCACAATTACTGGAAATCCTTTAAAACACTACCACTTTCATAATAAATACCCAAGGCCAGAAGCGGTGGTCCACACCTGTAATCCAACACTTTGGGAGGCAGAGGTGGGAGGATTGCTTGAGCCCAGGAATTTGTGAGCAGCCTGGGCAACAAAGCAAGACCTCGTCTCTTAAAAAAAACAAACAAAAGAAAAACAAACAAAAACAAAAACAAAAACAAAAAAACCTTGAGAAATGACTATGTGCTTGCTAAATCTGATACAGTAGGTAGAAAATGAGTTTAAGAGTAGAAAGGACTTGATTGAAAGTCCTTGGTCACTTCCCAGCTCTGTAACCTTAAGTGAATTACTTCGTATCTCTCAGTCTAACTTTTCTCTTTTTAAAAATAATCATAATAAAACTAATTTCACAGTGGAGTCCTGAGGATTACATAAAAAGCATAGAAAAAGTGTCTTCATAAAAATGCCTGGCCTATGATAAAAAAAACTAAATGAATAATAATGATTTTCTTCTCCCATTTTCTTTTTACTAGTAAAGAAAATATCTATGCCAAATGATTTTGAATATTGTATATAGCTTAAAAACTTAAGTAACATGCCAGTGTCTTTTCTATGCAACCATTGTTTGCATTGCTAATTTGAAGGAACTACTACTTATGTATGTAATTATATGTGAAATTTGAATGAATTACAACCCTTGGCAATCATCTAGTTGAACAATTCAAATTGGTACCATAATCTGGATCTCCTTTTCCAGAAATATATTGCAACTTTATTTCTCTTCTAATCAATCTCATTATGGTGGAAGAGAAAGAGGGAAAATCTATCCCTCATCAGTTGAATAATAGCAATGTGTCATGGCCTCTTTTCCACTGAGTCCACTTCTTTTGTGTTAGATAACATGTATCTCTCAAAGTATTTTTGCTTCTCTTTCTTCCAGAGCCTGCTTATGGCATCTAATATTGCAAATATATCATTCTATTCAGTTTTAGAAGCAAGTATGTACGATTCTGAAAAAGGAGGAGAGAAAGAAATGCATGTTTGATGTACCTAAGAGAACAGGCAGAAACCATCTATGGCCAAGGACAACAGGGGGCTTGTCCATCTGCCCATTATCAAACTGAACTGTGTCCACTAGTTATCAGCAGGGGGTGGCCAGTGGGCATCACACTAAAATAGAATTTCTGCCATTGGGACTACAAGGTGAGGAGGCAAAAAATTGTTTCAGAATGCATTTCTGCTTTGGCATGATGTATATAAAGAGTTGTTGCTTGTTTCTTACACAAAAACTATAAAACTTTTTTCATTTTGTTTTCATTTATTAAACATTTTCTGGATGCTTTATAGAATCTAGGCACTGTGCTGGCCACTCTGAATATAAAAAATAATTTCTTTCTTTAGCGATTCTGTTTTATGAGGGGGACAGAGAAGTAAACAAATAATTATAATACAGTAGATGACAGCTAATATACATACAATGTGCTATTGGAACACAAAGAAAGAAGTAATTAACTATGCAAAAATACAGCAAGTTTACAAATTTGTGAGGCATCTTTGCAGAAGGCTATGCTAATCTTCTCTGTAATATTCCAGTGTTGAAACCAACACTGCTACAGGAGTGAGACCAACCATGGAAGTAGAATAGAAAATCCAAAAATAAACAGATGGATCTTGATTAGTTATGTTTGTCTTAGGGTAGGAGAAGAAAAAGTGTTTATTGTTTTTATGTTCATTTATTGCAGTCTTTTTTATGTGTGTGTATGTTTATCATATAATTTTTAACCTTAGTAATAGCATCTAAACATCTCAACCTCTGTATTCTATATCAGTATGCTTGAGGGTGTGACCACTGGAAAACATATAAATGTAGATATAGATGCAGATTTTGAAATAGATTTAGATAGCTTCTTGTCTGCAGAAATACTACTTACAATATAATTTTTAAATTTTACAATAAAGCATTGTCTTTTAGGCAATTTCCTAATGGAAAAGTGAAGATAAGGCATAGCATTTATTGGCATTTAGCAAAATTAATATGTTAATACAAATACATCCTTAGTGTGCTTTTAGACATACTGTAAAGGCTTCTTTTCAATTACAGAAATGAAGAAGGAACGAAATGAGGCACTCCAATTTAAGCTAAAGTAGAAAGTCTGGGTACACTGTCAGCTTGCAAATCCTATTTAAATGTCTATTGGCTTTGTTACTAGCACATAAATTTGGAAACAAAATTCACATCAGTTTCCGATTAAATGTATTGTTCCTCTTTGAGGCAATTTTTGGTGCTAATATATCCAAGTCTCATCTTAGGTATCCCAGGCATTTCTCTGTGCTGTTCCTGAAACCATACATTGGCCTGAAGCTATTTGCATAATAATATTAGTGTTTCCCCTCCATGCCCCGGTCACAGGAGCCAATGGCACATTCTGAAAGGTAGTCCAAGGCATTTGCTTGCCCCAGGAGCACCAGGGTTTTAAGCACCAGGCTTAGCCAGGGTCTAAGTCTGCTTTGAAGAACTCACTCCAAAGAGTAACAGCTGTCACTTTGCCTGTCTGTGTCCTGGTGGACACCAAAACTTAAATGGTCTATCCCCTGATGAATTCAAGAGAATATAGTCACATTGTTATTATTATCCATCAATTGTGCAAGACATAAAAAGTCCTAAACTTTACCTCTAATCTCTACTTGAGTCAGATAATACTTGAGTCTACTTTTTCACATATCGAAATTTCATTTGTACCTTACCTACATGTAATGAAAACCACAATGCCTGTGGATATAGCCTGATGTTTTTATTTTCCACATGTCAACTCCATATAAGTAATTTGAGGTCACTGTTCTCAATGTGTTTCTCTTTTAATAATATCTAGCACAGCTTCACAGGCAACTTTATTTTTAAGGAATGTTTTCTATTGATAGTGGTGGTGCTGGTAGTGTTGTCAGCTTTTCTGTTCCACTCCAACAAGTATCCAAGTGTTGTCCTATGAGTGAATGAAGTTTTGCCAAGTCTATGTTATTTCTATGATTTTTATTACAAATTTCTAGCCAACATAGTGTTTCATTCCTTGCATATGTAAAAACTGCAAAAAAATTGAATTTAAAAATAAAAAGTAAATGTCCTTACACAGTAAACTGAGTAATGGCTCAAGCCTAAGAAGTCTAACTCACAAATGCTACGGAGAAAGTCATTCATTAACTTAAGATCAAAGACATGCAAGCTACTCGACGATAAATGGAGGCCAACAGAAACATTGATTAGTGGAAATGTTTAAAAAGTAGACGTCACTGTGAAAGCAAGGGCTTATTTCTGATGATGAAAGGCGTGCTATCTCTTCTAAGTTATTTATTAACAATAGTCAATATTCAGAAAAAAAGAGAGAAATAAATGAGCAGCATGGAAAAGGGCTAGGAAACACCCAACTTATGAGCAGCTCCAAAACTCCAAGAGCATGCCAGTTGCATAGTTTTAAGAAATTATTTTCCCTTACAGTATTGTTAGACGTGGTAGCAATACTTTGCTTTAAGCTCACATAAACCAGTCTAAACTATAATGTAGCTGAAGTATAATATTGGCCTGGTAATTCTATATTAAATTCACCTAACCCTTTGTAACACGCTTCTGAATTTCTATCTGTGAATAATAATGGAAAAAAACACCATTTATTGAGCATATATGTACTACTTCTCAGGCACTGTGCCAATTTAATCCTTACCTCAGTCTGTGAGATAATTATTATTATTCTCTTTTATGGATGTGCAAACAAATCTAAAATTCTAAAACAATCTGCTATAGACGTGAGTATGTTAATAATGCTATATTTATGCATAAGAGAAAATGTTCTCTAAGTCTGTCATTCTCCAGTTTTCATTCACTTAAGAAACAAGAAGCAATCCACGGTCAAAGGGCAGAGGCTCTGGACACAGAATTCCCTGTAACATGTTCACAGGATCAGATAAATGCCCCTGTCAGTGACTGTTCATATAGTACAATGTATTTGCAGCCTTGAGGAACATGTGTAGATTCAAACATATTCCTGGTTCCTTTTTTAAGAATCTTGTTAGACAGACCTGTAGATCTTGTTTTTAATAACTCAATCTTTTTTATATACTCAGCCCAAGATCGAAGCTGCTGCTTAATTTTAAGGTCTACATTCTGTATTTTCTACTTTAATTTGTACTTATGCCACGTTTTACTTTTTTTTCATAGCAAGAGATAGATTTACCTTCACAAAGGAATACAATTTGCCCTTAAGGAAATGGTATTCATTTTCAATAAACATTTGGTAAGTAACTACTTTTTCAAAAGTCAAACACTAAGTCTGAAGAAGGTAAAAAGATGGATAAGACCTAACCTATGCCTGTAAGGGGCTTAAAATCTAACTGTGGGGACAGAAATTGAATCAGGGCTAAGTTTGAAGTAAAGCCTCACACTCCCTCTCCAAAGAACAATTTCTGACACAGTGTTGTTTCTCTAAGGAGCAAGTTCTAACTTTGTCTCAATATGAGAAAGGGGGCTAAACAATAATCATCTAGGATAAACTGTGAAAACTAAAAGATTCTGGTTCTACCAATAACTCTTAGGGAGATGGGGCAATGTAGGAGAAAGGGAACAGTTTCAGCATTGACATGAGTGTGCCTGAGGATGTTCCTTTACAAACCACATACCAACAGCTTGCCATGTTCCCAAGAATCACTCCTATAGGGAGTCCAGGTATAGAAAGGAAGATGTCATGCACCTCAGAATCTTGAGACAGGCAAAGACTGAGAACCACAAGGTCTAACATGCTGTAGTTTTTCAGGTGCAGCTTCCAATGACAACGTAGTATATATTCATTTTTCTATTTGTCCTTATTTAATATTAAACAAAGAAAAATATTTGGCACAAAAGTCTGGATCAAGAGGAACTTAATTCAAGTAGGTGTTTACCTGTGTCATTCATTGAGATAAAAGGCTGTTTCTTCAGAAGTAGGCCTGAATCACTGCAAACTTGAGTTGCTTAGAAAAGAATCTGTGATAAAAATAAGTATGAAGATAGTTATCTAAAGCAAATTATTTTTACTCATTAACAACTAACCTTTTGGGAATGCTCTCATAACTTACTATAATTTACCCTCCCCCAAAACTCAGAGAATTCGCCTAATTCTCTCCTACACATAAAATACTGCAGATATTTTCGCTCTTTGGAGAAGCAGCCTTTCTCCTCTTTTTACTGAAATGAAATTCTTAGTGGCACAGCTTCCTAAATCTATTTCAGTCCTTATATTTATCCTTTATCTACTTTCACACTTCACATTCCACCTGTAAAATGCATCCCTAACCAGTTGATGCTCTATCTTATCTTCCATCCGCATGCACCATGTAACATTTACATTTATGTTTTATGTTTTGCTGCCACACTGATTACCAAATGGTGGTGGATGATATTTTTGTTTTGAGTTTAGCATTTTCTTTCTGTTTTAATTTGGGGGGGTGGGGCTCAAATGGCATTATATGGCATTTTAAATTACATGGCATATCACTCTATAAAAATTTAAGTTAAAGAAAATCATTTTTCCAAATTAAGGGGAAAAGCTACTCAATTTTACCACATAGAAACCACTGCTAAAATTTTGGTATTTTTCCTTGCAGTATTTTTTCTATGTATGTTTTTTAACTTTTCACTTTGAAATAATTTCAGACTTACAGAAAAGCTGCAGAAATACGATGGAGAGTTGCCATGTACCCTTCACCCAGCTTCTACTATTAAAATGTTAATGACTTCCATAACCATAGTAGAGTTATCTAGATCTTCTATGTATATTTGGACAAGGTTGAATTTATATTTTTTGTTCATTGCTTTTTTGCATATAATATGATAGCGTAAGAATTCATATTAAGTTCTTCAAAAATATTTTAATGTCCAAGTAATGTCATACTACATAAATGCATATTTTAATTATTTCCATACTGTTGGATATTGAGATTGTTTGTGATTTTTTTCTATTATTAAAAACTCTCAACATGTTATCATTTTTTTAAGTATCTACTAATTTTATGGGTCAAAAGGTAGTCTTTTATTTTAAATTGCTTTTTTTAGTTATTATTGAACGTGAATATTTTAAATGCTTATGATTTTTATTTCATCTTTTGTAAACTGTTTATTCAAGCCCATTTCCATGTACTGATTGGTGTTTGGATGTATTACTTACAAATTTATGTAAAACTTACATATTTAAGATTAAGCTTTTGACTCAAAGATTACAAGGTATTTTATTGTTTTGTATTCGTCTTTTGATTATTTTGTTTTTATTTCAATAATCCAAAATAATTTTGCTGACTGAAAACAACATATCTTTTTTATAGTTGTAATTTGTAATTAAATAACATTTTTATAAAGTAAAACTTTCTTCCATTCTTCAACTCAGTATTTCTCAAACTAAGACCTGCCAACCACTAGTTAGCTCAACATGTGACTCCTGGGAATTATGGGAATTTCTTTCCTTTAAAAAGAGTCTATATATTATTCAGGTTTGAAAATTACTGCAAAAGGTACAAAGGTCAAAGGAGGAATTCCATGTTTAATAAGATGCCATACATACACAATAAAAACAGTTTATCAAAGGATCAGTTAGTATTGCATGTTTTCCAGTGTTACTTATTTTATACTACTTTAATGTCTTGTAAATATTCACAACTTAACTGACAACTAATTTCTTTTGTGTTGTTACAAATTGAACATCAAAAACCTGTATGTCAACTGCCATTGTCAACTCTTATGTCAACTGCCTCTGCTCCCTTTGCCTGGAGTACTCTTTCACTCCACTCCTCCACTCCAATCAAGTGGAAAACTTGTGTGCCTCATTGTCATTCCTCTCCATCAAACCATCCTGCAAAATTGTCTGAATTGTTGTATTCTCTGCTAATTTTTTTTTCTACATGTTTACTTTCACTGCTGCATTATCTTGGCATTTTGTTATGTAGCTGTTGCCCCTCACAACTGTCAGAGACTGTTCTCTGTATTAAATTCCCATCACTGTAATTCCAGTGGGGCTAGAAAAGTTCCTCTCTCTCTCTGTGTGTGTCTCTCTCTATATATATACACACACACACAAAATATATATATATAAATATATATTTTATATATATATATAATTGGAACTTCATTAATGTTTTAAAATGAATTATCCATATATGGTAGCAATCATCTGGGAGAGTTCTAAGAAGCGCAACCTTGTTTTCTAAATTATACTGACAAATAATACTGCAAGTTCATCTTCCAGCTCTGCAGTCAGTTGTCTCATGGGATCCATGCTTCATTCTGGCAATGTCAAATGCTTTCTATTCTGTGATGAGTGACTCAAGCCAAAGATAATATCTTTGCTCAGGCAGCTGATTAATAATCACTCTTTTTAAAGACTTTTTATATTGAAATAATTTCAAACATACAGAAGAGTTGGAAAATGCTATGGTTTGAAAGTTTTCCTCTCTCAAACTTAGGGTGAAATTTAATTGCCATTGTAACAATATTAAGAAGTGGGATCTTTAAGAGGTGATTAGGCCATGAGGGCTCTGCCCTCATGAATGAATTAATGCTGTTATCAAGGGAGTCGCTTGCTTATAAAAGGATAAGTTTGGCCCTCTTTGTTGCTTACTTTCTCCCCCTCTGTTTGCCCTTCCACCATGTGATGCCTTCTGCCATTATGATGCAGCAGGAAGGTCCTCACCAAATGCAGCCTCTCAATCTTAGACTTCCCAGCCTTTACAACTATGAGCCACTATGTTTCTGTTTATTATAAATTATCCAATCTGTGGTATTCTGTTACAGCAGCACAAAACAGACTGACACAGACTGACACAAAAACAGACTGAAACAAAGAACTGTTGTATACTTAACCATATTCCTCAGTTGTTAACATTTTGCCACTTTTGATTTCTCTTTCTGTGTGCATGTGCATACACGCACACAACAAAATACTTTTGCTGAACCATTTAAGAGTTACTTGTAGAATTATGTACCTTTATCCCTAAATACTTCAGTGTTCATTTCCTGAGAAAAAATGTTCTCATAAATAACCACAGTACATTTATCAAATCCAGGAATTTAACATTTATGCAATACTCTTATCTAATATACAGCCTATATTTATTTTCCTCTAATTGTCCCAATAATGTCCTTTACAGATTTTTTTTCTCTGATCCAGATTCAAGATCACATATCACATGTAGTTGGCATGGCTGTTAGTCTCCTTCATCTGGTACACTTCACATTTTGTTTTTCATGACATTGAAATTATTCAGAAGTACCAAGGGATTTTTTTTTATACTTTAAGTTCTGGAATACATGTGCAGTTTTGTTACATAGGTACACACGTGCCACGGTGGTTTGCTGCACCCATAAACCTGTCATCTACATTAGCTATTTCTCCTAATGCTATCCCTCCTCTAGCCCCCGACCCCCTAACAGGCCCTGGTGTATGATGTTCCACTCCCTGTGTCCATGTGTTCTCATTGTTCAACTCCCACTTATGAGTAAGAACATGCAGTGTTTGGTTTTCTGTTCCTGTGATAGTTTGCTGAGAATGATGGTTTCCAGTTTCATCCATGTCCCTGCAAAGGACATGAACTCATCCTTTTTTATGGCTGCATAGTATTCCATGGTGTATATGTGACACATTTCCTTTATCCAGTCTATCATTGATGGACATTTGGGTTGGTTCCAAGTCTTTGCTATTGTGAATAGTGCCTCAATAAACATACGTATTCATGTGTCTTTATAGTAGAATGACTTATAAACCTTTGGGTGTACACCCAGTCATGGGATTGCTGGGTCAAATGGTATTTCTAGTTCTGGATAACCAAGGGATTATTTTAAAGAATGTCCCTTTGGTTCTGTCTGATGTTTCCACTTGGTTAGATTCAGATTATGCTTTTTCAGCAGGAATACTGCATAAACAATGTTGTACATCTCTCAGTATAACATTTCAGGAATCATATCTCAATTTATTTCATCATTGGTGATGTTAACTTTGACTACTCAATAAGGTGGCATTGGTCAGGCTTCTCTACTTTTCATTTTGTAATTAGTAAGTAACCTCCAGGGAGATACTTTGATGATATGTAAATATCCTGTTCCTCTTCAAACCTTTAGCTTATTGATTATTCTTCTGAATAAATCACTTTATAATGATTGCAAAATGGTGATTTTCTACTTTTACTATTTCTTCTATATTTATTGGTTAATCAACCATTCTTTTTTTTTTCTTTTTTTTTTTCTTTGAGACAGGGTCTAGTTGTGTCACCCAGGCTGCTGGATTGCAGCAGCACAAGCATGGTTCACTGAAACCTCTGAGCAAACTTTCCACTCAATGGATGCCAAAACCATTGCACCCAGATCAGCCACAGAAAAGAGCAGAGTTCTCAATGGATATTTTAAATAAGTGGGACTGAGATCCTGAAGCATTTCTTCAAAGAATTGTAACAGGAGATGAAACTTAGTTATGATTCTAAAGACAAACCACAATTAAAGTAATGGCTACCAAGAGGTGGAAGCAGTCCAGTCAAAGCAAAAGTGTACTAGTCAAGAGAAAAGGTCATGGCAATAGTTTTTAGGGATGCTCAAGGCATTTTGCTTGTTGACTCTCTGTTGGACCAAAGAACAATAACATATACTTATTATGAGAATGTTTTTGAGAAAGCAAGCCAAAGCTTTAGCAAAAACAAACAAACAAAAAAACGCCCGGGTAAGCTTCATCAGGCTTTCTCCACTATAAAAATGCACCTGCTCATTCCTCTTAAGAAACAAGGGCAATTTTGCAAGAGTTTCAATGGGAAGTCATTAGACATCCACCTTACAGTCCTGATTTGGTGCCTTCTAACTTCTTTTTGTTTCTTAGCCTTAAAAAATCTATAAAAGAAACCCATTTTTCTTCAGTTAATAGTCTAAAGACTGCGTTGACTGAATTAAATTCCCAGAACCCTCAGTTTGTTAGGGATAGGCTACATGGCTGGTATCATCACAAGTGTCTTGAA